GGTTGAGCTATAGGCGCCGAGCCAACCTGCTCGTTTTTTAGAGACCGGTCTCGCTCTTGGTCAGTCTGGTCTGAACTCCTGACCTCCAGCAATCCACCTGTCTTAGACTCCCGGAGTGCTAGGATCACAGGCACGATCCATCCCGCCGAGCCTCCACTTTCTTTTAAGTGCACACTAACTTCCAACTGTTCCAACTACTTAGGCTGCTTTCAGCAGGAAGCGAATGGAACCCGCAGCCAGCAGGGGGCAAGAATCACCCAGGTGTGCTTACTACCTAAGCAACGGAGTCAAACAGCATTCACAGAAAGAGTTTAGAAAGGGTTTAGAAAGGGTTAACAATAAGTTAACATGTTAATTCTCTATTAAGTCATTTAATGATTAAATGCTGAAAATAAGGATTTTCAGTGATAAGCGGTAGGGACAGACCTACTGTGCATTATTCATTAACTTAAACGGTCGCCTGTTCGGGCTACCAAGCGTGTGGGATGACCGTGCTCACATTTCTTAGGTTATGATACTGTTATTGGATGAGCCGAGAGGCTCCGAGTTACTAGCGGTTTCATAACATTTAAAGCGCTCCGAGCGAGCCTAACAAGCAACGAACACATGAAGTTTTGGGGGTAGACTAGGAAATGAAGAGCTTTCCACAGTGAGAAATGCCACTAGGTAACTCCCCTAACTCGTACCTATCCACTGAAAGGTTTTTGAAAACAGCTTCAGGCCCCGCCTTGTGACTTTGAAAGCAGGTGTGGAACGCATGCGCGCAGCCCACCGGCAGACCGCCTAGTGGCAACCTAAGACGCAGACCTTCTTCCCGACAGCCTGAGGGCGAAAAAGGGCGGGGCAACGGATCTCGCGATTTTTTGTGAAAGCCAGCGGAAACGCCAGACACGTGACTCTCCTAGGAGGCCTTCGCCTTCCCCCTCCCCCTTTTCGCAAACCCGGCCCCCTCACCCCGCGCCCACCCCAGAGCCGCAGTAATGAACCGTTTGGGTTTCGGAATTTCCTTGGATCCAAACACTGGTATCGGATCGACAGGAGCCGGCGGAGTCCGTTTTGGGCGGCGAAGGCAGGGGGCAATCAAGATGGGGGGGGGGAAGATCGTCTTCCTTCTCCTAGGAGGGAGGTGGGGCGGCGAATGGTACTGAAGAGCAGGGTGGGGGAGGGAGGAAGTCACGTGGGTACGTGCGGCGCGCGCTGCGTGCACCCGGAGCCTCATCCGTCGCCCCTCCCCCAGCCCCCCGCCCGCCGGGAGGGGCTGGGGGAGGGGCGTCAAGATGGCGGCGGGGAGGTAGGCAGAGCCGGACGCCGCTGCTGCCGCCGCCTTCGCCGCCGCCGCCACAGTCGTCTCAGCCGCCTCCGCTCCAGTCGCCTCTGGTCCTTCAAGCTTTCACCGCCTGAAAGAAGCTGTTCTGGTGTCGGGTCCCGCAGGGAAAGTAAGTCCTTCCCGTAGTCCTTTTCTCCTTCCACAGTCCCCCTCCCGGACAGCCTCCCACTCCCACCCTCCTCGGGGGGCCGTGTGGGGCCGGACTAAGGGGGCAGCCGCCTCACCCTGGCTTGCCGCCTCCCTCTCCGCTCGCCACCCCCCGCAGCCACTCATTCTGGGGCCTTCGGGGGCATGGTCCCGGTGGTGGCTCCGCTGCACCCGCTTCCTCCGCCCGTCAGCGCCGGGCCCTGCGGTCGCCGCGCGTGGGGCTCTCAGGCCCCCGGAGCCCCGCTGTCCCGGGCCGGAGGCATCTTCCTTTGGACCAGGGAGATAGGCTCTGCATACGCCGGCTCCACTTGGACAGCCCCTTTTGCTTAGCACATAACGACCTGGGGCTGTGAAGTCCCGGACCCACGGGGAAAGTAAGATCCACACCTTTTCCAAGTCTTCTTGCCCCAGCATTGCTTTCAGTTTAGGGCGGCGGGGGGCGGGGGGCCAGGGTGGAGTCGCCCTTCCTAAATCTATAGCCCACCGGCGGTCTTCTGAGTATCTCGCTCGTATGGCTATGGGAGAAGGTGCGTGGAACACGTGGGGGCTACCCTCACGCCTCTGCCGGTGGTTAGCTTAGTTTTGCCTCAAGTAAGCAAGCTCCCCTTCGAGATCCTAGGGATGCTTATAGGGAGGAGAGCGGCGGTTGGGAATTTGCCTACTTTGAGAGTGTTTGGCATAAGGCGCATCCAAAGTTCCTCAAGCCAGGGTAGGCTGGTGGTTTCCCAAAAGTGGTTTGGGTCGGTTTAACAGCTGTGGAGATTTGGATGTTCCTCAACCCTTGTGATTGTTTCTTTCCTGACCCTGGCATCCAGCTCCTCCCCTTTCCAGCCCGGCTTTGTGCTAGTGTTTGGTTAATGTTTGCGGACCACTAACTTGATCCTTGCACGGAGAAGCCTGCTGCTTTTATGTGCGTGCTCCGTTTTCTGTGGGAGGCTTTTGTTTTGGGGAGTAGATGGTCGAGAAACGTGGGAAAAGAACGAGCGAGAAAATGAGAGTCGAATAAAGCAACGTTTTTATCCAATGAATTGCGCAGCCAATTGTAACTGCACCCGGAAGTTTGTACTGAACACGTGTTGCAGAGAGGTTAAAAACTGGTCCCCTTTGACCTTTGAAAAGTTGATTATTAGCAGTTTATGTTGAGTTAAATGTTTCAAATTTCTCCAGACTACCAGAATTATAGATTTAGTAGGGCTTCTGAAGAGTCAGCCAGGAGGGTCCAGGGAGCTGTCAAACCCGAAGTGCCCTAGCATGAATCAATCAACTTACCACTTGCAGGCAGTTAGACCAGCTAATGATTTAGAGGAGTCTGTCCTGCAATCAGAATTGATTTTCATAAGCACTGGGGAAAACTATCATTCTACAAAAGGTAGTTTATAAAGAATTTCTAGGATGAAATGCATAATTTGCTATTGGTGATTCAGGTGGGGCATTAATTTTGCAAGCAAGGGAACATTTTAGTTTCATCTTTTTTTTTTTTTTCCCAGACAGAGTCCCACTATGTAGCCCTTAGTAGACTCACAGCAACCTCAAACTCTTGGGCTTAAGCGATTCTCTTGTCTCAGCCTCCCAAGTAGCTGGGATTTCAGGCACCCACCACAGCGCCCAGCTTTTTTTTTTGTTGTTGTTGTTGTTGCAGTTGTTATTGTTGTTTAGCAGGCCCTGGCCAAGCTTGAACCCCCAACCTTTGGTTTATGTAGCTGGCACCCTGCTCACTGAGCTATGGGCGCCAAGCCTTTATTTTGTTGTTTCAAGACTTGGCACCTGGGCTTGGCGCCTGTGGCTCAAGCGGCTAAGGCGCCAGGCACATACACCTAAAGTGGCAGGTTCAAATCCAGCCCGGGCCCGCCAAACAACAATGATGGCTGCAACCAAAAATTAGTCAGGCGTTGTGGCGGGCGCCTGTGGTCCCAGCTACTTGGGAGGCTGAGGCAGGAGACTTGCTCGAGCCCAGGAGTTGGAGGTTGCTGTGAGCAGTGAAGCCATGCACTCTACCCAGGGGGACAGCTTGAGGCTCTGTCTCAAAAAAAAAAAAAAAAAGACTTGGTGCCTGTAGCTCAAGCAGCTAGGATGCCAACCACATAAACCAGGGCTGGCAGGTTTGAATCCAGCCAGGATCTGCCAAACAAGGATGATAACTAGAGCCAGGTGTTGTGGCGTGTGCCTGTACTCCCAGCTAATTGCTTAAGCCCAAGAGTTTGAGGTTGCTGTGAGCTGTGATGCCACAGCACTCTACCCAGGGCAACAGCTTGAGACTGTTTTAAAAAAAAAAAAAAGTTGTTTCAATTTTCTTTTTTTTTTGCCAGGGCTGGGTTTTTTTTTTGGCATTTTTTGGCTGGGGCTGGGTTTGAACCTGCCACCTCCAGTAGATGGGGCAAACACCCTACTCCTTGAGCCACAGGTGCCACCTCCAGGGCTGGTTTTGAACCCGCCACCTCTGGCATATGGGGCTGGCGCCCTACCTTTTTGAGCCACAGGCACCACCCTCAATTTTCTTGATCAGTTTTTACTTAGACTTTTGCTTTTTGTCTCCTAATATGACTTCATTCCATATGATTCCTTTCAGAATTCCAAATAAAGTTTCAGCTGGATAAATCTTTTTTTTTTTTTTTTTGAGACGGAGTCTCAAGCTGTTACCCTGGGTAGGGTGCTGTGGCATGCAGCCTCCAATTCCCCGGCTTATCTCAAGTGATTCTCTTGCTTCAGCCTCCCAAGTATCTGGGACTGTAGGCACCTGCCACAATGCCTGTCTATTTTTTGGTTGCAGCCGTCATTGTTGTTTGGCTGGCCCGGGCTGGATTCGAACCTGCCAGCTCAGGTATATGTGGCTGGCGCCTTAGCAGCTTGAGCCACAGGCGCCGAGCCATCTTTCTTTCTTTTTTTAAGAGACGAGTGTCACTTTGTCGCCCTCCTTAGGGTGCTGTTGCGTCACAGCTCACAGCATCCTCCAGCTCTTGGGCTTAGGTGATTCTCTTACCTCAGCCTGCGAAGTAGCTGGGACTACAGGTGCCCGCCACAATGCCCAGCTATTTTTTTTTGTTGCAGTTGACCAGGGCTGGGTTTGAATCTGCCACTCTCAGTATATGGGGCCGCACCCTACTCATGGAGCAATAGGCGCCACCCCTTGCTGGATGAGTCTTAAAGAGAGACTGACTACTATTCATTCACTTGTAGAATTCTGTTATGTGTTAGGCAATTTAATATGTTTTAGGGGCTTTGCTGAAATTATTTTAAAATGGCCAACATGGAGATTCTTTTCATTCTTTTGAAAGTGATTTGCCTCAAAGAGTACAGTTTGTCGATAGGTCTTGGTGTTTTAGTGTAAATTGAGCTTTGATTTGAGACTTGCTGCCTGTGGAGGTAAGAGAATACTTAGTTTGGATTTTTTTTTTTTTTTTTTTTTGGTGATAGAGTCTCACTTTGTCACCTTGGGTAGGGTGCTGTGGTATCTTAGCTCACAGCAATGTCAAACTTTTGGGTTCAAGAGATCCTCTTGCCTCAGCCTCAGGAGCAGTAGCTGGGACTATAGGTGCCCACCATGCTGTCTGGTTAGTTTTTATATTTTTAGTAGAGACAAGGTTTTACTGTTCTTGCTAAGGCTGTTCTCAAACTCCTGGGCTCAAGCAGTTCCCCTGCCCAGGCCTGGCTAGGATTATAGGCATGAGCTACTGTGCTGGGCCAGTGATAGGCTTTTGCAGAACAGAAGCTATTTTATGAGTAAAATTTGGTACATAACTTATCAAATTAACTTGCTTAATTCTTTTTTTTTTTTTTTTTTTTGAGACAGAGCCTCAAGCTGTCCCCCTGGGTAGAGTGCCGTGGCATTACAGCTCACAGCAAC